CAACCTGCTGCTCCTCCCCCTCGTCCTCCTCCTCCTCCTCGGGCTGTTTTCGCTTCCTGCTCCTTGCCTTGGCCTTGGCAGCGACTGCTGCTTTGCGACTGACAACGAAGTGAGTTTGGACCCTTTTCCTGAGTTCCTCCGGACCCAGGTCCTCCTCTTCGCCTTCCAAAGCAGCAAGGTACTGGCCCACTTTGAAGTGCCAGGACTCTGAGGATGCACCAACAAAGTTCTTGTTCTGATGACCTCCACAAAATGCCACGAGCCACCTGAGATGGGGAAATAATGAGCCTGACACCCCAGCTGCTCGGGGAATTTTGAAGGCCGAGATTTCGCAAGTGAAGACTTGTTGACCATGGGCTTGTAACTTGATCGCACAGCCTTTCACAGCAGCTGCAGCTGTTGTCCACCTCTCGGTGGTCCCCTCCACTTTGTCTACAATTTGATCAGCGACCTTCTCGTACCTCAACTGCTCGTGGGCTGGCATCTCATTCTTCTCTCCATCCAGATCCACAAGCCGGATTACAAACCCACAAGGCCCTGCCAGGAGATCACACTCCTTGCAGGACTGTGTGTCTTTCAAAACCACCAACTCTCCTGTCACGAGGTTCTGCAAAAGCACATGCTGCCAAGTCCGACGAATGTGAAGATCTTCTTCAGGGACAGCGTATTCGGCATACATCGTCTCGCTTTGCAAGGCCACGATGTGAGGCTTACAGTAACAAGCTCTGGCTGGTTACTAGCCACCACAATCATTGAAGAAAACAATAGTCAGTAGCTGCAGTTCAAAAGTGTTGTCATTACTTTGGGCTTTGGAATGCACTTCCTGAGCCTTGTTCCGAAAGCTTGCATCGTGCACTGCTTGCTTCACCTCTCGCTTCTGCAACAGCCAAAAAAATGCGTGTGCCTAGCAACTCAGGTAGCTGCACCTTTTTTTCGACCTGTGCATCCTCACATGCTGCCCCAGAGGCCACGAGGGCCTTCACCCCTCCAGCACATGATTGGCTGGACAAGCTGTCGCTAAAACACAGAAGTCAAAAGTCTCAGGCTCTGAAGAAAGCCTCGAACTATCCCTAACTGCATCTAAATTTCATTTGAAAGATAAGCACAGAGATCGCCCAAGCAGCCTGGCTGCCAGCCATGGCGAATCTCAGCAGCTTGTCGCTCCAGGAGCCACGAGTCCTCAGCCTTCGGCTAGAGGAGCTGCTGCTGCCTCAGCGCCCGAGCCCTCCTTCTTTTCCTGGCCAAGCTGCGGGTCTCTTCGTCGCATGGAATTCGCAAAGGACAGGAGTGCCGTGCCATCTGCTTCAGGCTCCTCAGCCTCAGCCTCATAGCTCCAGGCTTCATCCGGCTTGAGATGCTGCACGTTCGGGAAGAACGATGAGCAGCTCAGGCTCAAGCACTTGTTCCGGTTGTTCACCACCACTGCTGTCAAGCTGTGAGAGTTGTCAACCTCCCAGACGCCATTGTCGGGTAGCTTCGGGAGCTCGGCCATCTCTCCGAGAAAGCCACAGTGGAGGGCCTGGGCTCCACCTTCCAGCATTCTCGTGTAGTAGCACTGAATCTCGCAGCGATCCCCATAGTTGAGCTTTCGCTCGGCACCCTTGAACTGCAGAGCCTTCACACGAAGACGAGCCTGCTCCTGCAGGACCTTGCTGTATCTCGGATTTGGCACTTTCGGCAAGGGTGTCTTCGAGCTGATGTGAAACAAAAAGGTCATGGCATCGTTCAGCCAGTCGTCCGCCATGTCGGCCTCGTCCATGTTCTCCAAGTTCGTGTACTCCTGCAGCAAGATGAGCTTTCCATGCTTGGGGAGGTTCATCAACTTGCAAGCTCTGCCTTTGATCTTCCGGCCCAGCTGCTCCAGGTTGATCTCCTCCTCAGGACCTGCCTGCTCATCTTCGAGTATGCTCTGCAAGGCCCCACTTTTGAACATCGCACTCAGCTTCGGCAGCCACTCCTCGTGCTCGCTGAGAGTTTTGTAGACATACTCTCTGTCCTCGGCCAAGTTTCGCTCGTAGAAGGTCGACATAGCTTTCCTGAAGCCACCCTGTACCTTCTGCTCCTGCTTCGCCTGTCGCTTCAACTGCTTCGCATTGGCTTTCTGGACACTCTTGGCCACCTGGTGGCCCACACTCTGCTTGCCACGTCGTCGTGTCCGAGGGTGGACACTGAAAGTCTTGCCCTTCACCATTGCTCCCTAGCTAAGCTGCAAAGCTAAAGCTGAAGACTGAGGCAGCTGCACTTACAGGCTACTGCTACAGAAAAATGAGCAAAAGCCAGTGGCACAGGGACCGACTTTTGGCAGCAGAGTTGGGAATGAGTTGGCTTGCACTTCCTGACCTCTGACAGCACTGTTTCCCCCAAGGCAACCAAACAAAAACTTCTTTGCGCAAAAGGCTGGGTCGCACGAATGTCATAGCTAAACTAAGGAACTGCTGCCAGCACTCTGACTCTGTGGTCGTCGCCAAAGTTCTTTGTACAAGGCGAAGATCGCAGCTCCTGCTGTGACCCCCAGTCATACGACGACACTCTCGGCAGCAAAAGGTGTGGCATCCAGTCACAACTCTTCGGCACCCATCTGTGGCAACCCTAAACCCTAAACCCTAAACCCTACACCCTAAACCCTAAACCCTAAACCCTAAACCCTAAACCCTAAACCCTAAGCCCTAAGCCCTAAACCCTAAACCCTAAACCCTACAAAAAGCTACCCGAAAAGTTACCTGAAAAGCTACCCTGGAGCAAACACACTGACAATGCAATGACAAGTTGAGACAAACTGCCTAAACCCACAGTGACTGAAGCCTGAGCTCCAGGGCCTCAGCCGAGGGAAGGCTACCACTCCAAGTCACATGGCAAAAGCTATCGGAACTGCCCAAGCCACAGTGAAGCCTGACCTCGCAGCAAGGCCCTCGATCGGGCCTAAACCAAAGGCAAGGCTGCCACCAAGTCGCATCACAAATACTTTCAAACCTGAACCAGGAGCTGTCGGCAAGGCCCCTCGATCGATCGGGCCTGAGCCAAAGCAAGGCTGCCACTCCGAGTCGCATCACGAGCACTTACAGAACCTGGACAAACCTCGCTGAAGCCTGAGCTCCCAGCAAGGCCCTCGGTAGGGCCTGAGCCAGGGCAAGGCTGCCAGTCACATCACATCTCAAAAACTGCACAAAGCCCAGTGAGGCCCGAGCTCCCAGCAAGGCCCTTCGCCTCCATCAGGCCTGAGCCGGGGCAAGGCTGCCACCACATCGCAAGCACTTGCAAAGCAAAGCTCAGAAGCAACAACAAGGCACCGAACGCACAACTCCCTTTTTTTCCTGGCAAAAACTGCTGGCTCTGGCATCATCAGTGTCAGTGCACTGCTGTCGGTTCGACAGCACCACTACTGCCTGCCCCACCGTCTCCGCCCCAGCCACCTCCACCGCCACTCTTGTCCCTGCCGCGCCAGGGTGCCCATGGTGCTGAATCGTCTGTCCAGTCCTGCCAGTCCTTCCACTCATCACCACCCCACTTCTTCTTGCCGCCCTTCTTTTTGGACTCCCTCTTCAGCTTCTTCAGTCGCGGAGGTTGGCAAACCAGGCCTGCCTTTTCGACAAAGGGGGGAGGATTGTCAGTCTTCTTGTGCTGGATCCAGGGATCGAAGAGCTCCTGGGCTGCCGAAAGGAGGGGTGCACAAGGATTCGGGCTATTGGGGTTTAGGATCTGGGTTTTTGATGCCAAGTTTGAGGGTTTTTAGGGTCTACATGCTGACTCAAACTTCATGCTGCAGCCGATGCCTCTCAAGCCTATACTCTAGAGCATTTCTGGGGTCTAAAACTTAGGTGAAGTCAAGGCTCACAGCGAGAATTCACACATAAATCCTTCCGGTTATAGCTTACCTGATGGCAGGCACGGCAGGGCCGAAGATCGAAATAGTCGGGGATCGCCGGGACAGGATCGGATGGGTCACCACCGCTCGGAGCAGCAGGCTCAGGGTCCACGAACTCCACATCAGTGGGCGGGGGCTTGTTGCCTCCTTTTGGTGGAGGGTCTATCGTGGTGCTGTCCCCCTCCTGTTCCTCCTCGTCCTCCTCCTCCTCCTCCTGCAGACTGGCCATCATCTTTTGAAGACCGCCCACAATTGTGTTCATCCGAGTGTTTGCTTTTGCCAGCTCGGCCTCTGTAGCCCGCAGCCTGCTTTCGGCTTGCTTGGCTCTTTCTGTGTCCACTAGCACTGCATCGCTTGCAGTGCTCGTGTGAGTCTGGCCGGCCTTTAGTTGCTGCAGCTGCAGCTGCATCTGCTCCTGAAGCTGCTGCTGCAGCTGTTGCTGCTGCAGCTGTTGCTGCATCATTTGTTGCTGCTGCAGCTGTTGCTGCTGCATTTGCTGCTGTACCTGCTGCTGCATTGCTTGGGCAAACCAAGTGAACTGCAGGGCATCATAAGTCTGCACAGGCGGTGCTGCAGCGGCTGCTGGCTCAGTCCCTGTTGGGGCAGCTCCTGGATTGGCAGCACCGAGGGCCTCAGGCCCAGCCGGATTCGTGCGAGTCTCGTCCCCCTGCCCGTCCCCTTCTTCTGCTGGAAGGCCATCATTAGCCTGCAGGGCAACACTTAAACTTCATTCAGTGTGAACCCTTTCAGGCCTAACAAAACAGACACTGCAGCAACAGCCTGTCCTGCGAAAAAAACCACCACTCCACACACAAGCAGGGCCATCAGCCAGCGAACCATGGCTTCCACCACAGAAAAGCTAGCTGCACCGGCTGCTCGGGTCACTTTGCTCACAAAAGCGGCTGCAGCACACACATTCAGTCAACCAACCAGTGACAGCAACACAGCTGAGATGCACAAAACCCTTGCTTCCTGAACTGCAGCTGGCTGAAGTGGCTTCGACTTAGACTGCCCTGGCCCTAGGCATCACACTAACCAGCACAACTCTCTCAGGCTCCTGCGAAACCCCGCCAGTGTCTCTGCCTCTGTCCCTGCCATCGACCTGCTTGCAGGGAGAGAGAAAGAGACTATCACCTCTGCCCCTACCTCCTATCAGCTCTCCCACTGAAAAGAGTAAGGGGATCCTGAGTCCTGCCCTGAACTTCGCTGACTGCAACTGAGCTCTCTTGCCGCTCCCTCTGCCTCCTGCCAGCACTAAGACTGTGAGGAGTGAGAGGTCTCACTACAAGTAAAAAAATGGCTGCGAAATCGTTCAAAATGCAAAACCAACAGTCTATCACCTCTGCCCCTACCTCCTATCAGCTCTCCCACTGAAAGGAGTAAGGGGATCCTGAGTCCTGCCCTGAACTTCGCTGACTGCAACTGAGCTCTCTTGCCGCTCCCTCTGCCTCCTGCCAGCACTAAGACTGTGAGGAGTGAGAGGTCTCACTACAAGTAAAAAAATGGCTGCGAAAACAATCGTTCAAAATGCAAAACCAACAAATACTTGTTCATGACACGATGAATTTCGATGCCAAAAACTACTCAAAATCTAGTCAAGTAACAAAGCATCCACAGACTAAAGCCACGAAAACAAAACATGGTAAGGTTTCAATGCTGAATCGCAGGCACTTCAAGGCTTCTGAATGCTGTCTCTTGCTTGAGTTTTTCGAAACAAACATATCACGACAGGGGCCAAATACCTAACGATGCTGTTGGTTCGAAATGGTGCTCGCCCAACTTGGTTTTCTGACAGGCTCAACAAAGGCCCTCCCACCCAAGCCGTCTGGGCCACCAAGTGGTCCTTGCCAGTTGGTCCCTCTGAACCCCACCCACCCACCCACCCACCCACGCCCGCACGCCCGCCCGCCCGCCCGCCCGCACGCGCAAGCACACATGCACGCACACACACACACACACACACACACAGACACACACACACACACACACACACACACAGAGACACACACACACACACACACACACACACACACACACACACACACACACACACACACACACACACACACACACACACACACACACACACACACACACACACACACACACACACACAACAAGCAACACGCAACAGACAACAGGCAACACACAACACACAACACAACACACAACACGTCGCAAAACCATCGAGATCTTGCCTTGATGTGTGAGTGGCTTCCTTGTAGACAGTTGCTTCCGACCTCCTTCCACACGCATGGGGCTTACCGGAACCCTAAAAACAGCTGACACCCAGGCAGGTGCGGCAGTCGACCATCACTAAGCTTCAGGGGGAGGCCGGTTTTTGCTGTGGAGAGTAGTAGGCCTGTCGGGCATGGGGTGTATATAGGACTCAGGCTGTACATAAGCTTTGGAGATTATGGGTTTGAGGCTTCGCATGGTTCGTGTGGGACCCTAAACCCTGAACCCCCGTTTGTATTGGCTTTTAGGGTTTAGGTGCAGAGTTTAGGGGCAATTGTTCTACTTCACTAGAATCTTTCGGGTGTATTCAATTGGCGTACACTCTCTGTCAGCACTGGTGGGCGGGGTGTGGCCATGAAAAGATAGGGCATATACAGAGGGTCCCACATCCCACATGAAGGGCTCTGGTGCCGATCACCGGGTTCTTGGAACTCTGTCTCCTTCCTTACAACGACACACTTCCTCTATGTTCCCCGGTGGTGACGAAGCATTTTGCCAGGTCATTCTAAAAAGCCTCTCAACTCCAGACCCTTGTAAGCCCTGAACCCCAAGAAATCCTTTCTTTTCAAGCAAGGTCTGAATCAGGGGGCCCGACCACGACCCCACGAAAGTTTGCAGTTGTACAGGCTTCGCGTGCCAAAGCGCGTGCAGACCGGAAACGAAAGCAGCTCGAGGCGGGCGCAGGGCTAAGGAAAATCTTCGGAAGGATGTGGAGGTGGGGGCAGGGGTGAGCTACATTGCAGGTTCTCTCTTCACCATGTCGGAATCACGGACTTTGGGGGTTTCAAACAGGGTCGCCCAGGGAGGGATTCAAGTGGTTGTATATATGGACCAACCCCCTTGTGGTAGCCCGCTGCGGGGGTTTCGGGGTTAAACCTAGTGGAGGAAGGTAGGGACCATCACACGGAGGCCCTTTCCGAGCTGTTGCGGCGAAGTAGATCCACCAGTGTGGTCTGTCTTTCGGGTGTCGGGTTTGCTTCAATGAAGCAGGCGGATGAGTCCGGATGAGTCCTTATCAACACCGGACCATTGGTCCATATTTCCAACCTCCCCATCGGATGCTAAACCGCAACATGCTGCTAGGGGCCCTCAAATTCCAACCCCGCCAACTCTCGGCCCCTCTCCCCTTCGCAACTGGAGGCCCAGCTCGCGCAGTCGCAGCTGGAACTTCGTGATGCCACCTCCCGTGCCGAAGCAGCGCAGGAGCAGATGCGCAAGGCGGGGCTAGGAGCCCCCACTTGGTACCCGGGCTTCTTTGCCTGCTGATTAAGATGTTAAATCTTCTCTTACACACCCCAGAAAGAAGGGAGGATGGTAGGGGCTTCGGGGAGGACATGGTCCCTGCTTCATGATGTCGGGAAAACTGGGAAAACTGAGCACCGTCTGACAACCCGAAGCCCGGGAAAGGGCCACTTTGCGCAGGTGAGAACGCAGCATTCGCGGCAGCTCCGCGTGGTCAAGAACCAAACAACGAGCCTGACGGAGGAGTGGGACACTCACATCCGCGAAACTGAGGCGGCAGCTTCGCAGAACTTGGGGCGACTTTTGAAGCCGGGCCTATCATGTGTTATTGGACTGTGTTATTTGTTTATCTACTAACGTTATTCTATGATTACTCATATAAGCCCTCAACCCAAAGCCCTTGGCAACGGTCGTCTTGGGGGGGGGGGGGGGAGGTTTTGCGCTGAGCCTGGGCATTCACCTCCCCCTGAGGAGGTGCACGTTTAGGGTAAAGGGGTATTACAGGGGTGAATAGAGGGGCGAGCTTAACTAGAGTGGTACTTTTGGGACAATGTGATTGTAGAACTGTATAGGGATTTGAAAGGAATAGTCTTCGCAACTCTGAAGGATTCTGTACTGCTAGCCGGAACAGACTAGATGTTTTTCTTGTGTTAGTTTCCCCTACGTCTTCTTGAATCACTGAATCTGGCTATCCAGTAACGGGGGGTTATTGAAAGGGCTTAATCCCTAAACCCCGGATTGGATATAACTCGATAGCAACTACGAAGCGACCTTATTGGCTCAAGGGGAGTCCCAAATAACCAAAACCTAAGTGGAAAGCCATGGGATCCCTTGCAAGGTTTAGGGTTTAGGGTTTAGAATTCAGGGTGTTAAGCAGAACTCGTCAAAATCTGAGGCAAAGCAGGAGATGGACGAGCTGCTGCAGTGCCGTGCCGAAGTTTCGCCAAACCCTAAACACTACTGTTAAGCCCTGAAGCCTAAAGCTGAGGTGATTTGGGTTCAGGATCAGGGTTTCGCGTTATTCGGGTTGAGGGTGTGTAGGGGGTTTACAGAAGGCTTTGAGGCTCAGGCTTGGCCATGGACTCTTCGGGTCGGCTTAGGATTTGGGTTCAGAGGGTTTGGGCTCGGAGAGTGTAGGGTTTGGGGCCTAAGGATTTAGGGTTTGTTTGGCAAAGCTGGAGGCAAGAGCTGGACCTGCGCAGTAGCGAACAGCGCTTCCTGCACCACGAGGAGGAGTTCCGCCTCAAGGCCAGCCTCCATTGCTACTGATGCTGCCGCTCACGCTACTGTTGCTCCTCCTCCTACTGCTGTTGTGATTGATCTGATGACTAATCGACAAATAGTAATATTATACATGTTGCTACTGCTGGTGCTCCTCCTACTACTACTACTACTACTACTACTACTACTACTACTACTACTACTACTACTACTACTACTACTACTACTACTACTACTACTACTACTACTACTACTACTACTACTACTACTACTACTACTACTACTACTACTACTACTACTACTACTACTACTACTCTACTACTACTACGACGACGACGACGACGACGACCACCACCACCACCGCCACCACCGCCACCACCGCCACCACCGCCACCACCACCACCACCACCACCACGACCACGACCACGACCACGACCACGACCACGACCACCACCTATTTCTACGACGACGACGACGACGACGACGACGACGACTACTACTACTACTACTGCTGCTGCTGCTGCTGCTACTACTACTACTACTACTACTACTACTACTACTACTACTACTACTACTACGAGTACTACGAGTACTACGAGTACTACGACGACGACCACCACCACGACGTCACATGGCTGTGGCATGTGACTTCGAGTGTCATGTACCTCTTGCTTGTACTGGCCCTCAAAGGGCTCCACTCGTACAGCAGGATGCTGCTTGTTTGTCTTCTACTTGTTGAAGGATGCCTATCGCAGGAGGCTGCAGCGTGGCGTGAGCATGGCTCCATGCTTTTGCTGCTAAGCGCTGGCCCTCTTTATTGCCAGTGGCCTCCCAGGTCCTGGCTGAGCTTGGCTGGTGGTGGGATGAGCGCATTCTTCGTCGGCGTGACGCTGGTGGCAGCATCCGCTCCTTTGCCATGGGCATCGATTCCCCGACGCCTCTCTTTACGTGGCTTGAGGCATGTTCTTCAGCATGTTCTTGGCGAACCTTCTCCTTGGCACATCGCCACCGATGGCAGCTCTGTCTCTGACGTGGCCGCTTCTTGGGCTGTCGCCAGTCAGGATTCCGTGGTCGCTGGCCCGGTGATCGGCGAGGGTCATATTTTCATTTTTGGACATAAAATTTCTTTTCTCTTTTCGATTTTATATTGGATCACGAATTAGGAATAATTGGTTCTTTTTGGAATAGAAATCTCTCGTATCCCATTCGGATTTTGATATTCAAATTTGCATTCTTTGATTCTGAATACGATTGAGCCAAGGTCCATAATCTATCTCTCCGGTTCATGATTTTTTTGGATATATCGATTCATAAATTCGATTTAAAAATCGTATCATAATCGGTTCATTTTTCTTAATTGAGAATTGAGGGGTTATTATAAAATCAAGAATTATATGATGGAGGAAATTCTATGAAGATTAATGACACGAAATGATCGAGATAGTGAGGATATCAGATGATCGACATTTGGATATCATTGATAAATTGTTTTTGATTCTAATTTCAATCTAATTCCTAATATGAAGATCTTGATAAATCTCGATGATTTGTCGATCATAAGATATATGAATTCATATTGGTCCTAATCGTCTGCAAATTGAGATCAAAATTCCCATCCTTTATCTTCTTCATCAATATTTGAAGGTTAAATAATAAAGAAAATATGATAATCGGAATATTATTCATCCATTTATCGATTCCCCTCTCATCGCAATATTTCAACTACTATAGATGAAAGGATGTCGAGAAATTCCCCATTTTCAATTTCATCTCACCCCATTATCAATCATTGAAAAAAACTCTTCTTTTTGCGACAAAAGGATCCGAGAACCTGCGTGTTCTTCTGACTTGCTCCCTGCCTGGGCTTCTTCACTTCGTTGTCGACTGTCAGGCTGCCATAAAAGCTGCTCGCGGAGGTGGCGTTGCAGGCAAATTGATCTCCAAGATCTCCGAAAGCATCAGAGCACTGCGTCAGCATGGGTGTGTAATACGCTTTCACTGCGCCTTCAAGCGGACACGCTGGCTTGCGTCCGTCCGCATCTGGCTTGGGCTTTGCGAGGAAACTCACAGGGGTAAAAAGCGTCCGTTTGGCAGGGTCGTGGATGAGATGCTGATGCCGCCTTCATCTTTGACGTCGATGAGTCGCGCGACGCCCTGCGCCATGACCTGCGTCGTTGCCGCTGATGGCAGTCTCTGAGGTGGCTGCTTGGGCCGTCGCTGCTCGTGGTGGCTCGGTGATCGCGGGTTGGTGAGGATCTGTCTTCGTGCAGGGTTGCTTTTGCGTTTCGTAGTGGACTGCAAGGCTGCGACTCAGGCTGCTCACGGCGGTGTTGCTGGCAAGTTGGTGAGGAGCTGAGGAGCTCGCTGAGGCCATATCCGGCTGTTGCGTGAGCCTGGGCGTGTTCTCCACTTGCACCAAACCCCGTTCTCCACTTGCGCTGGATTCCGATGGCACGTTTATTGCTACTGTTACTACTTCCTACTACGTACTACTACCTACTGTTTCTACTTACTACTTACTACTTACTACATACTACTTACTACTTACTACTTATTACTTACTACTTACTACTTACTACTTACTACTTACTACTTACTACTTACTACTTACTACTTACTACTTACTACTTACTACTTACTACTTACTACTTACTACTTACTACTTACTACTTACTAACTACTACTTACTACTTACTACTACTTACTACTACTTACTACTACTTACTACTACTTACTACTACTTACTACTACTTACTACTACTTACTACTACTTACCACTAACTACTTACTAACTACTTACTACTTACTACTTACGACTTACTACTTACTACTTACTACTTTCTACGTTCTACTTTCTACTTCCTACTTCCTACTTTCGACTTTCTACTTTCTACTTTCTATACTGTCTACTTTCTACCTTCTACCTTGTACTTTCTACTTTCTGCTTTCTACTTTTTGCTTACAACTTACGACTTACAACTTACGACTTACGACTTACTACTTACTACTTACTACTTACTACTTACTACTTACTACTTACTACTTACTACTTACTACTTACTACTTACTACTTGCTACTTGCTACTTGCTACTTGCTACTTGCTACTTACTACTTTTTTCATTAGTAGTTTGTAAGCGTTAGTTATGGCGTTGGCAGGCCTAGCAAAGACAGCACTCATGAAAGGCAAAGCAGGCCAAAGAGGACCTCGTGGAACTGGAGCATCAGACGGAGAGGCACAAGGCTCGAGGGTTTGTGGGTTTAGAGTGTAGACCGCAGACCCCTACAAGCAAAAGAGGACGCCCGCCCCACCCCACCCCCCCCCCTGGCCCGCAAACACGCACACACACACAGACACACAAACACACCATTTGAAACTGTGGTCCATACCTGCTTAATTAGCAACAAGCACCTTTGCCTTGAAGGTGTTGTATCTTTATCTCTTCACCTCAGCATCGGAGCACAAGCACAAGAGTTGAATAGAGTCCCGACAAGGCATGTTGCCGATTGAACTGCCTGGCTCACGGCAGGACGACCGTGAGGCGTTGCTACTTGCTCTCCAGCCGCTGGAGGTACCCGAGGGTTGTCGGACTTGCAAGAGTTGGTCGCACTTTGGTATCTGCAAGGGTATAGTACCCCGTTTCAGAAACTGCATATGAACCCTAAACCCTCACCCACAATAACCTTAAACCCTACACCCTAAGTTTATGGGTCAGTTCCGTAGCCATAAAGCTTGAACCCCAGGCGGGTTCAGGGTGTTGAGTAGGGGCAGGTGTTCACTTACACATCAGGTCACCTCCTAGCACCCGGGTCTGGGGTTTCTAGGCTTTATGAGACTTCAGATCCCTGCAAGAAGCTGCCCAGGAGGAGCAGGACCAAGTGCAGGCGCAGGCGAAGGCCATGAGAGACCTGCTGGAGGCGGATCGACAGAAGTCGGAGGCCAGGTTATTGGGCAGCTGCGTGCTAGGTTCAGAGGTTTTGGAAATCGAGTGGCAGCTTGTTCATGGGAACACTTAGTCTTGTCAACTGGCTCAAGATTTTAAAGTTAGAGTTTGGGGACTTTCGGGTCATTTGGTGGCTTAGGGTAAGCTAGGGTTTTAAAGTTTAGGGTTTAAGGGTGATCACAGCACGTATCAAAAGTTAAAGCGTGGGGCTGCTTTCTGAGGGCAGGGTTCAGGTCCGGGCATAAGGAACCCCATTCTGCCCTTTGGAATGTCGACGTCGTTACACATGAGTGTAACACACTGCTTGCCTCAAGCCACCAGACAAGGCATTTGTCCTGAAACCAGTCTGCTCGAAATGCAAAGCCTTGAACCTACATGTTCTACATTCGACAGAAGCTAGACAAGCTAGACCCTTGTTGAAACTGAGCTCGCTATTTCTGACCACGAAACAAACAATGTTACCCTAAACCCTAAACTTCCGCCGGGTGCTCAAGGAGAGGAGTTCCGAGGCGGCAGTGTATCGCGAGGAGATCGCCGCACATCGCCTCGAGTTCGCCGCACAGGCCCCCATAATGGTTCATAGAGGGGTCTAAATGATTTCCCTGTTGTTCCGTTTCAATCCTTACGAATATAGTTCCGGTCTGACTTAGACACCACCCGTCACTACCCCAAATACCCGTTCCGATTGACCTCCATTAGGCGGGTCTGCAGTTGAGGCTCCCCCAAAAAGCAACCTCTAAATTCACAGCCGTTGACCCAAATCCCTCACGTGCGCAACCTTCCCAATAGAACACTAAACCCCGACCACCACACTTCACACCGCAAAGCTTAAGACCCTGAAAACGCTCTTGGTCAACCCCCACAGCTTAACCCCCTGCGTGCGGGCGCTGAAGTCGAATCTTTGGGGGGTCGTCCTGCCTTAAACCTCAAAACCTGAACTCCGAGCGAACCCTAACCCCCAGCCTTGGGCCTTTAGGAGGAGGAGCTCAACGCCCTCTCGTCCCTTGAGAAGCAGGCGTCTGGCGACTGCACAGTGTGAAGCTACATGGATTTGGTGTTTCTTTTGCGTAGGCAATGCATGTGAAATTGGATGTGCTTCAAGCGTGTGTGAAAGGGGTGGAAGTTAATCTCAATCTCAGAGCAGTGAGAGCGTCGCTCGATGACTTGGCTCAAGATTTTGGGACCATCGAGGGCCATTCATTATGGCTGCGGCATCCTATGCATCGGCGGCCTCGGCATTGAGGGGCCCCTCTATCTTCCCAGGAAGCCGCGCATGGTCGACATGGCAGCGATCCTTTACGACCCGGATCGTGTCTTCCAGTGGTTCCCAAAGCATCTTGACAGAGGAAACCCCACTGAAACATGTGATGCCAGAGCAGCGAAGTCTGCGGTTTCGCTATGCTGAGTCGTTGCGTTCTGGCTTGAATGTCGGTTTCACAGATGGCACGGACTTCAACTTTCCTACCTCCTGGCTTCAAAAGGTCATGTCAGGTGGCAATGGCAAAGCCCAGGCCGACCGGTTTCATACCTGCTTCAGCGATAGCAGCTTGAGGTTGAAGGTCAGTGAAAATTCCCAGACCCCTAAGTTTGGTCTTTGCTGGGAAGCAGAGACCTTAAGGAGCTTGGCTGAAAAAGAGGCAACGCCGTTGCAAGCCAACAATCTCCAAAAAGCCTTCAAAGGTCCGGCAGTTTGGACAGGCGATGACTTGAAAAACTGCAGCATGTGGGGACTTGAGTTGTCGTTCGGTGAGATTGCTGATCTGAAGTGTGCTACCCGGGCCTGTCTCCAAAGAGTTACATGGAGGGCAGAAGGGGTGCCGGAGGTGTTCCCCAAAGAACAATTCCCTCTCGGCGACGCCATGACCCAGAAACTTGCAGCAATTGCTGATGAGATCGAATTTGGAAAAGGATTGGCAATGGTTCGCAACATGCCAGTGGACGATCCAGATTTGTCTCACAAAGACCTGGCAGTCATGTACATGGGTATTTCAGCACATCTTGGCCATGTGATGCTGCAAAGCTCCAGTGGTTTGCGATCTGTCTCTCGAGGCTATGGTATGCCACTTGGCCTCATCCAAGCAGAGATGACGGGAGAGACTCCCAAGCTTGGCAAGCAGACGAACAATCACTTCAGGCTCCACACCGACCGCTGCGATGTGATCTCTCTGTTGTGCATTCGCAGGGCCCCAAGTGGGGGAGCCTCTCGCGTGTGTTCGGCACCAGCAGTCTACAATGCCATCCTAAGCCGCTCTCCTGAATTGGCCAAGGCCTTGACTGAGCCAATCGATCGAATCTGGGAGGGTGAGGGTGGATACTTCTGCTTGCCCATCGTGGGAGTCACTCCGAGTGGTCAATTCACCACCCAAATTTCTCCTTCTTATGTGGAGAACGCCCAGTTTCTGGATGGCGCGGCAAAAGCTACGAAACAGCAGAAGCCTTGGATGCCATTGAAGAGATCGGTATGGAGCTCGGGGCCGAGTTTACCATGCAGCCGGGAATGATGTATTTCTTGAACAACCACCAGGCCTGGGAGCTGGACGTTGGAAAGCTTGTTCAAAGACTTTGCGTTCAATGGGCTTGTGACAAGATAAGCATCAATCATCACCAGGACTCCGAATGACTAATAACAGATGTGAATGAATTTCAATGATTCAAATCGAGTCAGAACCAAAGCACAACCAATGCCTGCAGGTCTACCATGGACGAGGCAATTGGGCTGTAACTCCAAAAGAAGAAAGTGGTGCTTGGGGCCAAGAAGGTCGACTACTCTTTCGCACATGGATCTCTCCGTTCAATTCTCGGCCGTTACCCAACAGTGCCGACTATCGGAAGGTCTGGGGCTCTGTGGAAGCTGGAAGTCCAAGGGGAGGATGGGATCAAGCCATTCAGACCGGTGAAGTACCGAAACCTAAGATTCCAGAGGATTATGTTTACTATTCGTTCTACGATGCGAAAATCCAATCGCTTTCCATGCATGGTTCTTGTGGGACAGTTCTGGAGTATTGATTAGATCTCCAAAGCTGCCTGAGGCCGATCAGTTTGCTGCGTAGCAACACGGAACAGGCACGGCTTAGATTCGCAACTGCCCAGCTGAAGCAGTTTTTCAGATTTCGGGCAGGGCCAAGTTTGCTGCCGAGTGCTCCTCTGCAGCAAAAGTTGCTGCACGTGCCTCAGGCACAACCAAACTAGAGCCCAGCAGCCAGAAATCGGGAGGTTATGCGGCGACGTGACACAGGTGCCAAAAATCCAGCAAGCTTAATTGCTCGCCTTTTCTAGTCCAGATACTGGCCAGCCGAATCCCACGCGAAGCCATGAACCGAACTCAAAGTCTCAGCCTGTGGTGCCCTGACCCCTTAAACTTCCAAGTTTTCGGTCACGAGAACAGGTGGCAGAGAGCCGGGGGGCGAGAGACAAGCCCCCGGGTTGGCAAGTCGGTTCCCGGAAGTTGGATTTGGGGCTTTGAGGGTGTGGGACTTGTTTCAGAAGGAATCAGGAAGGGATTCATACTCGGACCCCTAAAGGATGTGCCCCTACTCCTTGTATGGCCCTTGTATTCCCGTTGGGGATGTTTGGAAAGGGTCCAAGGCACAACCCCCTAGAATGAAGTTGGTTATTTGATGCTAACGTTGGACTTCGTTCTTCAAGGCCGAAGGTTTTGCAAGCCATTGACAAGGGCTGGTTCTTATGACCAGGCATGCGCAAGCTGGCCCAACAGGAAGTGCGATGGTTGGCCATGCTACACCCAGCGTCATCCTCCCATAAAAATGATCACATAAAGCACGAGCCATTCTGTTTCAAAAGTCCTGGATGTGGAGCTCTTCTCGCCTAGGATGCGTAGTGCTACCCATGTTCCAGTTTGCAGAGGCCAGCTTCCAATATGAGTTTATCCCAAAAAAAACTAAGGCGGCCTTTTTATGGGCGGAAACGCCCTGATACCCTGAACACTGAGCCCTAAGCCCGTTTATGGTACAACAGATCCCGCTTGACAGCTCCTTACTACCAAGGACTCGCAAGACCCAGGGGCCTAGCAGCTTTAGATCTCATCTAGGCCGGGGGCGAGAGGGAAGCGGTGCGGGGGAAGGGGGGAAGGGGAGGAACTGAGAAAAAAACCGACCTTTGAACCTTTCAACCCAAACCCTCAACCCGAAAATCCTGACATCCTAAGCCCTCAGCCCTAAACCATAAAGCCCTAGGTCCTAAACCCCTAAAGCCTTAAAGCTCTAACTTTGGCACCTCCAAGAGATCCCGAGGCTTCGGTCCGAGAAGTCGAAGCTCGAGGCAGCTTTGTTATCTGAACCACTACTTGTCTAGGGTTAGTGGGCTTAGTGGGCATGAGATGGGCCCAACTTGAGCTTTAAAGCAGGGTTTAGGGTCTAGGGCTTGAGACGTTGCAGCCTGTTTGGGCTCCGTATTCTAGAGTGTCTACCTGAGAAATGAGGTCTACACTTGACTGTTCCTTGGCAAAAAGCATTGGCGAACACGCCGGCATGTCACGGCGCTGGAACAACGAACGCTAATGCTAGGATTAAGTTCTTTCTGAGCTGAGTATTGGTGAAGTAAGTTCCAGGCGTGGGGTGTAGAGTTAGGGCTTGCTCTTGGGTTTCAGAAAATTCTGCCTTCGGGCTGTAGGCGAAGTCGGCGAAGGCCTTTAAGGCTGCATCCATGTGGCCATCCCATCCACCCCCCCCCCCCCCCCCAAAAAAAAAAAACAAACATAAACTTGTGTTGCTGCTTGTTGACTGGGCTCAAGTGGCTCAAGTCTGAAGACCGCCTGCTAGTCAACAGCTAATCCTGCCAAAAGTCTTGGGTCTAGGGTTCCGGGACTTTCCACCACAAGCACAATTTTAGAAAAGCGAACCTCGCGGATTGTCCTCAACCGGGATCGCGTAAAGGATAACGCGATGCTGAAATCATTGCCTTTTGCTTTTCCTTCTGATTCCGAGCTTCCTCCAAATTCCCAAAAATCTTGCCACTATGCGTGCGGCGAAATGGGCGGAGCAGCGTGTGGGGTTTGCACCCTAAGCCCTAAAAGTTTCAGGCTAAAACCATGAAACCTTAGAACACCCCAAAGCCCCGAAGCCCCCCCCCCCCCCCCTCCCCAAAAGCCCAAAAAGCGCAGCGGCTAAGCTCGGGCGTAAACTTTAATTCAGCCCGTCGGTAACAACCCTGAACTACGACAGGAGACCTCCAAGGCACTCCAGCAGTTCCCCGGATGGCAATACAAAGGGGGTTTTGTTGATTGGACCTTATGTTGGGCCTATAGGGGCTACTTGCGGCCAGTAAGTATCAGGATTTAGGGCTTAAGCGGTTGGGGTTGGCTTACGTAAGCGTTTGGGGCTTTGGTGGTCTGGGCGCGGTTTTAGGGTCCAGGGCTCGGGATGTACGGTGCAGGGTGCGCATCAGTATCTAGCGGCGCGGTGGGTATGTGTGTGTGTGCTTCTTAGGTAGGATTCATGCCATTCGAGGGCTTGGGTAACTTGGCACAGACTAGGCTACGCCAACCGTGCAGTCTGCAAGCTAAAGGGAGTTGGTGAGCTTTCCACGCGAAGGGCAGGACTTGGAGACGGCAATTGCCCCCACCACTGTAAAAAAACCCTAACCCACAGACCGGGAAAATTTGGGGATTGTTCTAAAGCAGGGCCTATAGCTGACCCGTAGTAGAATAAAGCAGTTATCGTTTAACAACTCGCCATCCAGCCCAGCCCCTCAAGGCCCTGAAACTCATGAAGCCCTCCAACCCCACAACCCCAAGTCCCAAACCCTAACCAGCCCTCCACCTCCCCACCCCCCCCCACCCTGCCAAACCACCCCACCACCTTCCCAACAAAAGCAGACAAGAGGCGCTCTGACTTCCCAGGTCCCTGGAGCAGCAGCTTGGGGAACTCAGGCACTGGAAGAGTTCCTGTTAAAGGGGGTTGGAATTAAGCCAGGGCTTGAGGGTTAATGGCCCAGGGCTTGGGGGTTTGAGGGGCATAAGGGTCTAAGGGTACTAAGTCAAAAGGGGGGGGGGCTTGAGGAGGGACTCTTGGTTTCTCCAGGGGGGTGTCAGCGGATTTTCTGATAGGCTGGCGCGCAACGTCAGCCACCCCTAGACCCTCCCAAAACGCCTTCGGAAACTCCCCCCCCCCCCCGTGGTGAGTTGGGAAGGGAAGCGCGGCGGCGCTCCTTGCAGCTGAAGGCCGGACACAAGAGTTGGGGCCTAGGGGTGTAGGGGGTTTTAGGGGGTTTAGGGATGTAGTACAAGACCTATGGCTTGGTAGGGTTTAGGGGTTTAGGATGCAGGGATGAGGGTTTCGGCTCGAGGGCTTAGTGGCTTAGGGTTTAGGGGTGGATGTATGTGCATTCAAGGCTGCCCTCACTGGGCAGTCGATGACAGAGGAGCTCAGAAAAGTTGGCCTTGAATCTGAAACCCTGAACCTTTGAGCCCCTCGGCCTAAACCCTAAGCCCCGTATTCATGAAGCAAGCCCCCTGCTTAGACTTATGTAGGCATTTCGGAATCTTCAGGACATATGCTTTCAAGCTTGCAGTAGATGTGAAGTTCAAGACTGTAAGCCCTTCAGGTTGCAGCGGCTTTAAAGGTCATTTAGCCGGAAGCCCCTGTCCTTGCCTTGGTCCCATTTCCTTTCGGGGTGGTGGGTTTAGGGGTTGTTGGGTTTAGGGCTTAGATTCCCTGTTCGCATGCATTGAACTGGGGGATGCTGTTAGGGTTCAGAGCCTTGACCCTAAACCCTAAACCCTAAACCCTAAACGGGCTTGCCTCTTAGGGCTTCGGCCCTTGCAACCCCCCAGCACCTTGGAGAGAGAAGAGGCCTCCCATGACGACTTTGTCAAGCTGGTTCCGCCGGCCAGCATGCTGCCACCTTAGCTGTCTCAATGGGGCGAAAAAAAGCTCTAGAAGCCCTAAACCATAGTGGGAGTTTTCGAAAAGATGGGGACCCCCTAATATAGACACCCAAATCGTCGGATTCTCTTACAATAAGGACCCCAAGAAGGTACCCCTTAAACTCCCAAAGAGGCCCTAAAAACCCAAAAGGCTGTAGATGTCAGGAGGGGAAGCTCTACGGATGCGAAGTGCTTTGTGTTTTCATGAAGATTCGGGAAGAAGCCGGTCCTTTCTGATCCACCAGATGTTGCAATCCTATTGGTGTAAACTGAAAATCAGCTGAATCTGTCCTGAGAGTTGCATCGTTGTTTCATTTAGTTTATTTGAAACTTTCGGACATTGAATTGGATGAACTTGCACATTCAATGCAATTCAGAATTGAATACGGTATCTGGATGGATTTCATTGCTTGGTGAGGGGTGGGAGTGGTTCGCCAGCACATTCCCCCACCCACGGTGCTCTCATTGCGGGTCTGGACAATGTTGAATTCCTGGTTGAAGTTGGGATCCTTGGGGGTTGAGGCACCTCACAACAACATGACAGAGATGAACCAAAAGGGTCCCCTGCAGCGTACAGAGGCCGCATGAAAAATACCGACCCAAGAAGGGACCCCTAATGTAGACAACGGAGCCAGTACTACAGGGGTCCAAATTACCAGTAGGATTCCCTTGTGGTCCCTTTATTCTTATAATTATTATAATAACACCCAAAGCCGTATTCTAAGTACTAAGGCCCCTAGAGTAGGCTGCTCTTCATGTCAAAGGGCCCAGGGCTTTCAGGATCTGAGGAAAGCTTCACCTGGTGCAGGTGCACGACCTTGATTCTTTTGCTGGTCCTTACACAGATATCAAATACTAAGCCGGAAGGTAGTGCCCTACATCCCTGAACTTTGAACACGAAGTGACTCTTTCGACCAAGACCACCATTAGAAAGCGAGTCTTGGTATTCAACCTGAGGGCCTCAACCCTAAAACGGAAGCCCTGAACCCTCCCAGAGGCGCCAAGTCACCCTTTCCACCGGCGCGGAGCAAGTACTTGCGCGCGCGAGCCGCAAGGCCGGAACCAGTGCCTGCATGGGTTTGGGGTTTTAGGTTAGTTTGGGTTTGGGGTTTGCAACTGAAGTTGCTTCATAAGACAGCCACGCAATTTCTCAACCATGCTGCTTGTGCCAGGCGGAGCAGCTTCTGGCGGGACTCGAAGGCCAGGGCTCAGGCACACCAGGGGAGACAGGGTGTCCACACCTTGTGGGCGTGTTTGGTGAGGGGGCTCGTGGTCTTTTTGTTGCCAAAATGCTTGCCAACCCAGTTCGGCTCAACTCCCGGCTTGCCTTGAGTTTGGACACCTGGATGGTCCCCATTACGTGGCTTTCGTTCTCAAAGAATGTACATGCATGTCTCATAAGTATGTACACATACATTCGAGATTCATGTGTATGTGTAGATATAGCTGTGGATTGGATATGTTATTCAAGCATAGAAACAAGGCCAGGAACATTCTGACCCACAGTTTTGCAAGTCGAATTGTTCGCAAAACTAGATACAACAGTATCATGCACAACGAACTACAGCCAATTCATTTTAACCGTATGTACCCAAAATGATACTACGCGTAATCAAAGAAGAAGAACTCCCATCCAGTACCACGCCAGGTCGACCACCGGCGCGGCGTCAACGTACCAGTGCCCTGGGCCTCTTACTTCTAGGGGCCCAAAAACACCACATAAACAGAAGGATCCTACAAATAGGGTTTGTTGGGATCCCCCTTATAGGAGACCTCATAACCCAATGCTAGGATCCTGAATTTTATGTGGTTTTTGGGCCCTTAACTTCAACTGGGCCAGGGGGATGGCGGGCCGGCGCCTTAGGGGTGACTTCGGGAGGGACACCAATGCTTTATTGACTTCCAGAGAGGGGCCAGAGCTCCTACTTCTGCAGTCAGGTACAGGAGCCTCGCTCGGCAGCCCGGTGACCAGCACAGCCAGCCTTGGTCTCCAGCAGAAGCTGACACAGATGGCGGAGCTTCTCGGCTTCTCTTCCCCGAGAACCCTGCTTAGCCACCTCTTTGTTCTTTGTTGCCTGAGGACCTTGAAGAGGTGCCCCTGGAGTAGGGCTGGCGACAAAGTTAAGGTTCCAACCCCTCAGATGCCTTGGGTTTTGCCTTGGGCTTTGGCAACAGAGAGCAGGAATACCAGCAAGGCTACGTACCAGTGGCAAAACTCAGAATTCATGCCCTAACAGTAGCAAAACTCATAGGAAGCGCAAGTACGAAATATGGACTTTAGGAAGCCGTCTTGTCTTTTTTTCACCCCCGAGAAGTCTCAGGAACAGCCTCAAGGAGGAGCTCAACGATTGCCGCCGCTCCTTGGTGGCGCCTCAGCTGCGGAGTGCCAAACGATTCAGGGTTGTTGGGGTTTAGGGTTTCGGGTTTAGGATTTAGTGGTTTAGGGTTTAGGGTTTAGGGTTAGGGTTCAGGGAGTTCGGGAGCTAAGGTTTAGGCCTAGTTTAGGGTGTCGGGGCTTAGGGAGCTGGGGAGCCTAGGGTTTCGGGAGTTGGGGAGCCGCAGGGTTTGGCGTTTAGGGTTGTTTGGGGGCTGAGAAGTTGGGGTGGTGGGGTCCTGTGGTAGAAAGGGTGGAAATTTGGGAGGGTTACTTCAGTAAGCTTCAAAGGCTCATCTCCAGGGTCGGACTTCGGCCCTCGTTAAGAATCGAAGCTGCTCATGTCACGTCCCAGAACAAGGATAACGACTCTCGACGGAAAGGTCTGGGAACATTATGGCGCTGCCAAAACCTAAACTCTCCGAAGAAAAAAAGAGATCAGGGCCGAGAGGTTGCAATGGACAGGCTCACCTCAAGTGGCCAGATGCAGGTAAGGGCCCAAAGCCCTCTCAAATTCCCCACACCCAAAGAACTCAATACGGGGTTACTATATTACTGTAAGGGTACCTTGTTTGGGGTCCTTATTTTTAGGGGACCCTACTATTTAGGGGGCTCCATGTTTGGGGTCCCCTAATTTTCGTGAACCCACATATCACAAACTCGCAAGCCTGCAGCTGTAACCCCCAAACCCTTCCAGTCCCTTGCCTCCCTTGGCCGAAACCCTAAACCCTCAACCCTAAGTTGGGAAGTTTGGGGCTTCTAGGGTTTAGGGATCAAGGTTTAGGGTTCAGGGTTTAGGGTTTAGGGTTCAGGGCTTAGGATTCAGGATTCCAAACTCCTTCGCCATCACCCTAAACCCTCATAAGCTGTGAAGGAGCACCAGCAGTCGGTCTTGGAGATGGCAAGGAAGCGCGGGGAGGAGCCTCCTGGCAGCAACCTCCACTTCATTGTTCAGGGCTTCGGGATGCTAACCCCTAAACCCTAAACCCCAAACCCTAAACCCTAAACCCTATAAACCCCATAAACCCTATAAACCCTATAAACCCTAACCCTAAGCCGTCCCCTTGTAGACCCGTCTTTTTTGAGAGAAAACTTATCCTTTCATTCGTAGATTGCCGGGTGTAGGTTAGGCTGTGTACAGGGGCATGGGATTGCAAGCTGCCGCGCTGGCCCCCCCCCCTTCCGCCCTCCCAAGATACCGGCGCAGCCCCATGCTGGCTCATGTCAACCCCATGTTTAGGGAAGACCAACCTCAAACCCGAAATCTGAAACCCTTTTTTGCATCCCTAACCTCATTCCCCCCCTCCACTCCCTCCACTTCGCGCAAGTCCCCCGAGAACCCTGCTGCCAAGGACGCAGAAGCTGCGCGCAGAGCGGCGGTCGCTGGAGGAGGAGTAAACCCTAAACCCTAAACCCTAAACCCTAAACCCTAAACCCTAAACCCTAAACCCTAAACCCTAAACCTCACAGGGTTTGGGGTTACCCTTGAGGTGATTCAGGGCTTAGGGTTTCAGAGCTCGGGATTTAGGGAGTTGGACCTCGGGGTTTCCGGCTTCTGGGACTTCAGGGCTCCCGGTCGAGGCCTTTAGGGTTTAGGGTTTAGGGTCTCGGGTTTAGGGTTTAGGGTTTAGGGTTTAGGGTTTAGGGGGCGCAGATCAGGGTGTGAAGCCGGTGATCCTTTTGGGTATTTTCATGTACTTTCGGTTCTTTGCTGCAGCCAGCTGTTGCCAAAGCTGATGGATCTTGCAGTGCTTGCCCTAAGCCCTACTGTATCCCAAGTGCTTTGGGTTTAGAGAAGGTTTAGGGCTCAGGGCTTAGGATTTAGGGTTTAGGGTTTAGGGGAATCCCTAGTGCTTTGGGCTTGGTAGAAGCGGAGAGGTCTGGCAAGCTTAGCACGAACTGTACACTGCAAACCACCGGCACATGTCTTAGCCAGGTGCTGAGTAGGTAACCTTTGGCCATTTCTGGCGAAAATTGTGCATCCCCTCCAAAAACGCAAAGGTTAAGGGGAGGGTGGTTTAAAGCTTTTGGGGGGGGTTTCCGAAAATAGATAGGGAACCCGCAATATAGAGCCAAAACTAGTACGATTCCTTGTAATAATACGGTACCCCCCAAAATATCCTAAACCCCTCTTACAACCCTAAACCCCTAAACCCTAAACCCTAAACCACTCAGGAGCTGTCGAAAGTTCGGGAGGATGCCCACACCGCGCACTCAAAATCCGAGGCCGCCATCGCAGAGCTGCAGCGGCACCTACAGGCCCCGCTTTATGGGGGCTTGTCTTGCTCGAAGTCAGGCTACCCATTTATGGGTAAACTATACGTATAATATAGATGTAATCAAACACATATAAATAAATATACATGCATATATACATATATATATATGCATATTATATAGTTATAGAGGTCCCTGCAATATTGAACGCAATGCTCTTTCCAGGTTTGCACGGTCTGTGGCCTCCTCCCCGATCCTAGCGAGAGGGCAGGGTCGGGGGCGGGGGCGGGGGCGGGGGCGGGGGCGGGGGCGGGGGGCCGGCGGGGGAGGCGCGTTCTGCCCGTTCGTCACCCCCGCCAACCCCGCAAAGAAAGCTCTAGTTGTGAACAACCCCCCTTCGACACCAGACTGACAGATCACCCTTTCCAAAGCCCTAAACCGTGCACCCTTGTAGAAGGAACCTCCCCCCAAAACCACTTTTTCTGCCCCACACCTAAACGACTATTTGCTTGAGAAGCTCCCAAAAAAAAAGTCCAACCCCTATATTTCCCTTGGAAGAATACTTTTATTTTTTGGGGGGTTCTTGACCAAATAGTAGTAAACTCAAATCTTCAACAAGCCGATGACACGAAGGAGCAAACTCAGGAGGCGAACCGTGATGCCGAGAAGGTGGGTGCGGAGTTTTCCGCCCCTTGGGCTCTTCATGAGAATGCGGCTTAGGGTGTTTAGGGTTCAGGGTTAGGGGGTTTAGGGTTCAGGGTTAGGGGGTTTAGGGTTCGGGTCTAGGGTTTAAGGTCAGAATTGGAGATGAGGATAGTGCTGGTGATGAAGGTAATGATTAGAAGTAGGAATACAGCATGACATCAGAGACCCCTGCAGCGCAGGAGCTTAAATGATGACCAATGTGATCCCCGTAGAATCTGTCCAAAATCCCTACCCTGAAGACCTTAAACTACCCCAAGCACAGAAGGCCCCTTTTGTGAGTCAGACTGGAGGATACAGATTCCAATTGTGAAGCCGAGGGCGATTAAGGGTTAGACTGGAACCCAAAGCCATAAGGAGCATGGACAGGGCTGCGATCCCAGAGCCCTAACCCTTCAACCCGGCCAAGGACTTGCTGCAGAAGCAAGCCCTGGAACGAAATGCGCTGAAGGAAGAGGCAGACTCTTTTTTTGGGTTTTTTTGAGGAGGGGGGAGGGCTTCCGGTCTTTGAGTAGGGCCTGTGGGACTTCTAGGGGGGTTTGGGACTTCTGGCATTAGGAGGGTTCTTCTTATCGGCCCTTTGATTTGAGGCTGTCTTTAGGCTGGGGCTGCCAGAGATGCCTCTCGTGCGGGGGAGGGGCGAAGATTCGACGGTCTAGGTTATATTGGTTGGTGGTCTCCTTAAGTAGGGTTTCTGTTCTGTAGGGGTTCTTAGTAGGGTATGTAGGGGCTAAATATTAAGGTATAAGGGTAACAGATAAAGAGGCCACGTGCCTTCTAGGGTTCAGGGTTCAGGGCTTTCAGGAGTCCGAATCCCGACCATTAAGCTGGGCAACAGATGTATGCCGTGCCGCTGAGGTCGAGGAGCTGAAGAGGAAGCAGGTGCTCGCCTGTTGCTAGATGGCAGAGCCAGATGGGGTGGGGTTTGTTCATGTACCACTGTTCAAAGATCGCGCCCCTAAGAAGTGGAGTTTGCTTTGCTGGTCTCACTTGGCGGTAGGGCTCATTCTGGTGCCGAAGCAGCAAGGCTTTACCCAAGTGCACGTTTGAAGCAGCACACTATCTGCAGAGTTTTACGGTTTAGGGTTTAGCGTTTAGGGCTCAGGGAGGGTTTAGGGCATGTGCACGACGTCCCCACTCCCAAGCTGCTGGGAGGCATCGGAGAGGGAGCTGGCTGCTTCCAGCGTCAGGGACCGAGAGAAGGCTGGCAGACTTCCCCTTAGACCCTGAGCCCTAAACCCTAAACCGTAAACCCTAAACCCCAAACCCTAAACCCTAAACCCTAAATCCTAAACCCTAAACCGTTTTAGGAATTCCGGACTTCAGGGGTCCCCAAACCTTGCCATGCTAGGAGTTTAGTGCCACAGGGGGTGTCCTTCAGGCGGAACAGGACAAGTCCTGAAGAAGATACGAAGGGAAGTTGGGAATGGGTTCGGGGCACCTCAACCCTTGGCCTGAACCCATGGCCCTCCGTGTCGCAGGCCACCGAATACCTTCACGAGCTCGAGCAAGAGTTGGCGAAGCTCCGGGTGGAGGAGGACATCTGACACAACCATTCTGGCATCGTTGGCCCCAACAGGAGCACGAGGTAGACGGCTCCATAAGTCATAGCAGTCGGAGTAGGAGCAGGAGCAGGATAGGAGTAGGAGTAGGAGTAGTAGTGGTAGTAGTAGTCGTAGTCGTAGTCGTCGTAGTCGTAGTCGTACACCACTACTGGTGCATCCTTGAACTGTAGTGACAGCGGCAGCCAGATGACTACAAAGCATAATCTACGTTGCATTTTAAAGTAGACCTGATACTGGCCTGAAACGGTTGGCTTGTGTCAACAGACGACGACGAGCACTTCTACCACACCTGCCACTACTACCATTACTACCACTACGACCACTACCACCACTACCACCACTAACACCACTACCACCACTACCACCACTACCACCACCACCACCACTACCACCACTACCACCACTACCACCACTACCACCACTTCCACCACTACCACCACTACCACCACTACCACCACTACCACCACTGCTGGTACCACCACGACCACCACGACCACCACTTGTCCGTTGTTTAGGGATTCGATTCCAACAATATAGACCCATTTGAGCCGCAAGATGGCGCCCTGTTCTTCGCAGGCTGCACAACGCAAAGCCCCGCGGGACAAAGTGTTTCTTGCTGCGCTTCTTGTTCAGGAGGAGCTCGTCAATGCCCATGTGACGCTGAAGGCTAGCTGGGCACAGCTCGGGATTTTAGCCTTGAGTTCTGGGGTTCAGGGTTGCGGTTTTGAAGCTGTTGGGTCCTCAAAACACGTTGGTAGTCGCATAGCAAGAGAACAACAGGGGCCGACTCTAACACGTACTATTCACTAGTAAGGGGGGCCGAACCCAAGCCAACAGTGAAAGCCGGGATGGACTCCTGGGTTTCGGGTTCAGGGCTTCACGTGGTTCAGGGGTCTTTATACCTCGCACTCTGCCCTTGCCATGCTAATAAATCAGTTTTAACCGAGACTAGAGTCAACCTCTCGCCGAACCCTAACCTTGTATCAGCTAGTCGCTCCGCCAACTTACTAGACCCCAAACGCCCCCGAGTACTAAACATTCCAAATCTCCACTGCTCATTCATGAACCAGCAAGGGAAAGGCATGCCTTAGTAAAACCCCTCCGCAAAACACCAGCCCTAAATTCCTACGTTCCCAACCCTAAAGCCCGCAATCCTTTGAAAAAAACCTAGAACCTTGAATCCCCACAAGCTCAGAAGCCCTCCATCATAGTGCCGGCGCAGCCGGGATCTTGCCCCAGTTACCCGGCCCCACTCGGCTCCGAAGCTCCCGAAGAGGCGGGGCTGCTGGCGCAGCGCCGGCGCGCGCGCAGCGCGCCGCGGTCGCGGCCAAGCTCGCTGGGGTCCTCGGAGCCAAGAGGCGCTCAGGGTTTCAGGGAGGGGTTGGGGGTTTGGGGTTTAGGGTTTCGGGTTCAGGGTCTAGGGTGCAGGGTTTTGGGTTTAGGGTTTAGGGAGTCGGGGGTGTTTGGGGGATGTTTCAGGTGGCTTGAAGGGTTTGGGTTTTAGGGGGCTTTCGGGGCGGGGGGTTTTGGGTTTGGGAGGTTTAGGGGCTTTTCGTTGAGGGTTTTAGGGGTTTCAAGCTTTTGGGGGCTTTGGGGGTTTGAGGAGTTTAGGGCTTAGGGGTATAGCTGCTGCTACCGGGATCCTGGTCACCAAGCCCCTCAGCCCATGGTTCCGTGGCTCCTTCTGACTCCAACATCTTGTGCCAACCTTCGTTCCTCCTCGAGCCCCAAAAGAGCTCGGAAAATCTAGAGAGCTTTCTCTGAAAGCTTTGAGGGTCTTGGTCTAGGTATCAGGTATTTTGGATGTAGGCTTAGGGTTTTCCGTGCAGCCGCTCCGACTTCAAGTCCTCCTTAAACCCTAAAAATCCCTGCGTAGTTGGAGACTTGCAGCCAGGACCTCCTCTGGCAAACCGGCCGAGACCAGCCTCCGTGCCCGCCAACTCCCCCGCCTCCTCCATGAAGGCCAGACCCGGGCGTATGGTTTAGCGATCCGTCGCTCCTTCCTAAGCTCTACTTGTGACTTCATTTTCCTAGGGGCAAGACCCCAACCCCTAAAGCGGCGCCCTGTATATAGACTCTCAACACCCAACGGCCCTAGCCAATCTCACGATGGCGGCGCGTGGTGGCGTTAGAGGTTTCCATCAGAAGTCCTGCGGCCTGAGGGGGTAGGGGGCTGCTTTGGGGTATTTAGGGTTGGGGGTATTCGGGGCTTAGTCATGTAGGAGAGATGGCGAGCCTGGCACGGGGTATGGGGGTTTCGGGACTCATCTTGCAGGGAGTCAGACCTCTAGCTTGTGCTTAGGGAAGTCGCGTCGAAAAAGGGCAAGTAGCACCTTTCTCTGAGACCTGAGAGCAACCCGGAATCCTGGCCAACACCTCCGGCTCTTACGATGCCGATACTTCGCACAATGAAGCTTAGACAGTTGTCGAAGGTCGTGAGGGCGGAGTAGCTGCTACATACCGGAGATTGTGCTTTCAAGGAAGGGGGTAGCTCTGGGCATCGCGCTTCTGAGCTTCTGTATTTGAGGGACTGCGGGCGCTTGCCACTCTTCTGGCCCATGGCGTTTCTCGCCATTGCCACATTGCTGCCTCTCATGTCGATGCCGGTCGACGGAGCATCAGCGGTCCGATGCGGTGAGAGCTCTTCATACTGCCCAGCTGATATGGCCTGCTGCACCTCGAAGTATTCACCCTCCACTTACGGCTGCGAGGTGGCGATCGGAAACTTGTCGGACGTGTCGGCTGGATGCGGCGACGGACTTCCTAAAGGTGACACGCTTTGCTGCAAGATGGGCCCAGCAGAGTCCCCCAGCAGAAGTTTGGCCAACGTTCTAGTCATCGGCGATTCTGTCTCCATTGGGTACACGGGTCCATTGGCAAAGCGGCTGTTTGATGTTGCAAAGGTTCAACACGGTCCGTGGGACGTCTCAGATGGCGGTGCACTTGACACGGCGTATGGCGTTGGATGCTTGGACAGGTGGCTGGTGACGCAGGCTCAGGAGATGGTCCAATGGGACCTGATCACCTTCAATTTCGGGCTCCATGATCTTACGAATTCCTCACACTGCGAGGGGCTCTACGCGCAGCAGCTGGCCAACATTACCAAGCGTTTGGTAGCCCTTAACACGAAGGTCATGTTTGTCACAACCACCCCATTCATGCCTTTGCGGACCAAGGGCAACACAGCTGCTTGGACATGAAAAAAGAGTCCCACCAAAAAGTAATCATGCTCAAAGAGTGCCCAAGCTCTTTCTGTGCCACTTCGTTGTGCAACAAAGGTTGTGGAGGATATGAACACCATGGCCCAGAAGCTGGCCGCAGAGTACAATCTTCCAGTCATCGACCTCTACCACACAGTCACTGGCGCATGTGGTGCCGTGTACTCCAGCTGCTCCATTTGTCGGACCAACCCGTGCAGCTACCATTACAACGCAGAAGGCATGTCACTGCAGGCAGCTTCCATGGAGGCGGCTATACGGCAGCACTTGGGTCCTCACGCGTCGCTGTTGACGGTGTGAGGATCGCGTCAAAGCCGTCATGATACGTCATGCTCTGGGCGTTCAAGCCGAAACCCTCCTAAACTTCACAAAGCCCCTTATGGACACGTGAAGCCCCTAAAGCTACGGCCCGAATATCACCGAAGATCACACATAAGGATGCAGGTGCCAGGGCCGCGGGCACCATGAATCAATCCCCCCTCCCCCACTCTCGTAAGGTCTGAGAAAGGCCGAGAAAATCCCAGAACGCCCATAGAGTGTAGAAGCCTTAAACCCTAAACCCTAAACCCGAACCCTAAACCCTAAACCCTGAACCTGTTGAAGTTTTTTGCCCCCCCCCCCCCCCCCGCGAGGCGAGCTCGCCTCGGAACTCCATGTGCCAGGAGGCTGAGCCTGCACTCAGGGTTTTAGGTTTAGGGTTTAGGGTTTAGGGCTTAGGGCTTAGGGCTTAGGGCCCTAACGGGCCAAGGGAGACATGTTCGATGCTGCCAGCGCTGCTAGTGGGTCAGGTGGGCCTGTCTAGAGTGCTCCGGCCTGTGACGGGCGGTCTACCACCAGTGTAGCTCCCATGCGCTCCAGGCCTCCACCCTGGTTCGCTTTAGAATTGTCATGCATTGAACACTTGGAGTAGGATGGGGCATCGGTGCACTCCTCCTTGCCCATGACTGCCTCCAGAAGAACGTCGCAGGCCGGACGCTCCAACTTGGGATTGGCTCAAACAAACCTGCCGAGAATTTCTTCGATGGAAGTATTAGACACATTTGCTGACCTTTAGGCTTGATCCCTAGACCTTTCTGCAGTCAATAGCGACACCGAGAGTCGGATTCTGGCTAACAACGCTGCCACTACTGGCAGCAATCTTGGAAGCCGTACAGACTCTGACATTCCAGGAAGAAGAAGCCTCATGAGGTTTCAACCCCAAGGCCCCCCTTGCAATAGGTGGTGACCTGGCAAGTTGCTACTGTCCACACGCCTACAGCGCTCTCCCCGCGATCGTCCTTGAGGTGCTGCTGGGTGTTTAGACCTCAAGGGTTCGGAATAAAGCAGGGCTGAAGGTTCAGGCTTTATGTAGCATCACGTGTTTTGGAGTTGGGGCTTATTTTAATGCCTAAACCCCAAATTCCCGCCTGCGGACGTAGCGGCAACTTTTGGTTCAACCACCAGCCCCCCGAACACCCTTTGTTCCGCGACCTTTGCCACCTGCTCTTCGAGATGCTGAGCAGTGCGCCTGGCATGTTTGTGCAGCACTTCGCTCTTGTGTGTTATGCAGATGACATGTCTTCCTGTCTGTCGTTGTCAAGCTACACAGTATTACAGTGTGTCCTAGAATGGGTTTGCGGTAGCGGTAGTACTACAAGGCAGCGTCTTCACGCCAAATCTCAACATAAAAAGTTGCCGCTAAGGGGACCCTGAAACCGTTGGCGCCTCCAATTCTCAACTGTACGCCCGACTCTTTACCTTGATTGACGACCATTAGTCGAACTGTAGCCGTGACCGTCAAGGAACAGCCTTTTCTGCCGGGAGACGATACAGGCAGACACGCTGTCCACGCAGTACATGTCCGGTCGCAGAATCACGGTGCAGCACAGCCTGTCCGGTCGCGAAATCAGAAGTTTCGAGCTGGAAGAGGATGACAGTAGAACCGTTATGGAGTTGAAGCAGGAACTGAGAGGCTCTGTCGAGATCCAGTGTCCACCTCGCCTTCAGACCTTGGTTTGCGGCGAACATGTACTGAAAGATGCACAGAAGCTAGCAGATTTGCTTACGGAGGGCAAAGACATGAATTTGAAGTGGCATCAGCAGGAACCGGAACCAGGTGAATTGTGTTCTGCTGTGCGTCGCAAGGACTACTCCGAGGTGGAGGCATTGTTGCAGCTTTCAAGTGATCCAAATGGACCATGCGAACTTGCGAGCGATAACCGATCTCCGCCTCTGCACCTGGCATGCCTCTCAGGAACATTGCCGATCGTTGAACTCTTGCTGAAATGGCGCGCAGACGTGAATGCGAAGACTTCGCAGCAGCGTTTGGTTGGGCCATGCACAGCTTTGGAGTGGCTGTGCTCGTGGAGCAGAAGGGAGGAGATGCCATCGTTTGTAGTGACCTTGCTCGCCTCTCGTGCCCACCCAGGGCATCACTGGAAGGAATGCCTCATGTTCTTGGAGCAGACCAAGCGTTCGGATGAATACCTTGAACGGCAGCTCTGCCTTGGCCTCGCAATAGGAGCAGGTCACACGGAAAAAGTCCAAGGCTTGCTGAAGTCCCGTGCCGACATGCGTGCAGTCGGCGAGTGGATACTTGCGAGTGATGTTCGAGTCAAGACGCTCCTCCACGCCATGAACATGACTTTGCACCCGACTTGGGCCACTTGGGCTGAGGATGCAGGGGGTGATGCTCAAGTGATGAGAGGTTTGCAGGATCTCCGAGAAGTTGTTGTTCACATGCTGGAGAAATGCACGGCTAAAGATCTTGTAACAGCACTACGACGTCAAGTACGGCAAAAAAAATGGATCTCTGCCCTGCAGTTATGTCAGGCCATGAACCGACGGGCTGAGAGGATTACGCCGAATGTGATGTCACTTGCGCTTAGGGTTGCAGCTGGATCTGGTCAACAAGATGTAGTTCAAGCCTTGTGGGAATCCAACGTGGAGCCACGGCAAGATTCTGTGCAGGAGGCAATTTCCGCAGCGCAGCAAGGGAAACATCGCGATGTGGAGGAACTACTTATGAGGACCTTTGGGCGGCGGATGAGCCTCTGACCACGCAGGGTGTCACGGTTGACATATGCGCAATCGCATCCGAATCTGAGTTTTCAGCGGATGTCCACTGATGGCGACGAACCGGACCCATGCATGTATGTGCCGCGTCAGATTTGCTCGGCAATATACATACATATGACATAGATGGGCCAGTCTGGTAAGATACGGTAAGGAAGGGACCAGCCGCAGCACATGCCAAGCATCAAGCTTCCAAGCGAATAACAGCAATGAAGGCCGAAGGCATCACCCCCTTTGCATGTCAGTGGATTAGCCAAGCTGTCCTTTCCGCAAAATTCACAGTGAGCTCAGTCCGAAAACATGCGTAGTGCATGCTGTCTGCAGCATTGTTTGCACTTTCGACGCATCTTCGGCGTCTGAGTCTAACATGTCTCCGGTCCGTGGCAGGTCTTCATGATGTCTCGTCGCGTACATCTCTACAGCGTCTCTCACCAGGACTGCCTTCAGAGCGTTCCTACACGTCCCCAGTAAATGAATGAACCATTGCAACAAGCCTCTATCTTATCTTCAGTCTCAGTGTATGCTGAGTTTCTCTTCTGAAGCCCTAGGTAGAAGCAGTTGGCGCAATACCACATTAGGAGCACCGAAAACCTAAGTACGGAAATTAGGTCATTGAAGAGTTCAGGGGCACCGTGGCAGCCTGGGCGGAACTGCTTGCGATGTGGGGCCATATGGGCTGCAACAAGCCTTTCAGGCTCAAAGCCGCACTAGGGAAACGACGTCGGAAGCTGTAGTTTAGGGTTTAGGGTTCAGGGTTCAGGGTTTAGTATTTAGGGTTTGGGGTCTAGTATCTGACCCTGGCACGCAAACCTCCTGGCTCTACTCCCCCGAGGAGCCCTTCCAGCCGATCATCCTCTGCCTCTACAAGCCTCTTAGGTGGTTGGTGGATCCTACAGCTATTTTAAGAAACCTTGAACAATTCGAAGCTTAAATCGGCTCTTTCCAGACCATTAACGAAATAATATGTTTGCCTCGTCTGTTTTCTCAATGGTGTAAGTATTCTTACTAAAATTGTTTACGCGCTCCTTTTCACTAGGTATTCTTTTCCTAAATAGTTTGACCTCATCGCCCTTGTCCAACTCTGGGTACACCCTTGTTTTCCTAGCCTTACTGGCTAGATTCAACTTGACTTTCAACTCGTTTGATGGTTTCCGTGCTTCCTTTGGTGTCATTTCCGTAGCGGAGGGCTTCATTCTCTTTGCCCTTACGACATTGACAATAAATACAACCAAGTATGTGAAGAAATGAAAAACGTTCAAATTTGAAGAAGTGAGAAATCTAGATGATATTGAGGAAGGCTGTTTGACACGATACGACAGTAGGATGCACCGACTGTACGCTGATAATATTGAAGCTCCTACTGCCGCGACGACAACAGGAAAAAACAACCGAGGGTTTGTAAGCCAAAAACTTACCAGACTACAGGAATTAAGAACAGATATTTATTAGAATGGGTCACAAACCAGTTTGTGGATTCGCTCAAAGTGGGGAGTATCCACCTAGTAGATATTGTCCAGTGGAGCTCATTTTTGACATCGTTTCAGGCTGGTGAACCAGTTATCAGACCAGCAACGCCAGTAGAAGCATCACAAGCCCTAGACGACGAAAACGGCTCATTCTTCACTACGCGGAATACTACAACGCCGTGGCTTACTCAACGCAGTCTTAAGGCGTGAATTAATCCAAGTTGACAATGCAGTCAACAGCAATGTCGTTTGACATTTTTTGAAAGGGAGGTAGGCTTAGAATGGTTTATCCTGCCCAACACAGTCTTTCTCAAACCTTCACCGCTGGAAACTCAGAGATGAACATGAATATCGTTAAGTCTTCAACTCGTCTGTCTCAAATGCTTTTCACCTGCAGCAACAGCAACATCAACGACGACAGCACTGCCGGTAATTATGACAAGAAAAATGGAATTTCTTTTTTCCACCCTATGGCATCAACTATTGATAATGTGGAGACTTTCAAACAAATTTCGGCACAGATTCAAACAGCAAGTAAGAAGTTCCCAGAACAAGAAATAGCAAGCGTTGTAGAGTTTATGTTCCTTCGCCGCGCAGTACGAAATACACAGGGTATTTTCCACAGGCGTTAGTGAAATATCAGACACGTATGCCACCAAGGCAGAACTGACAAACATCAACACGCAAACACTGCAGGTCTAATAGCTGTACGAAGTGTATGAACAAAGTGAATCAGTAAATTCAATAACATGCCAAAGTTGTAGATTATAAAATTTATGAGTTTCCAATATTGTACTTTTTCAAAGGTGTGCAAAAAGTGCCTCATAGATTATGAGTTTTTCTAGCCCTTTTTGCAGGTTCATTTGTTGCGTTCACACTTTTAATTGACTTCGTGCGCACAAAACGCTTACAATTCAATTTTAATTAATGATACTAACAGAATCACATTAAGCAAAACTGTTTGTTTCAAATAATCTCACTTTTAATAGTATTGGCAAAATAACAGCAGAAGCAGATTTAGATGTATGGGGAGCATTTGTTCAACATTCATCAGCATTTTATGAAACTTTAAAACGGTAGTGATTATGATATAGTTTTAAGGAATGGCGATACTGATAGAGCAATTGATTTTATTGTTGGAAAGATAGGAAGCACACCAGAACTACCGTTAAGAGAGTCAAAGGTCAAATACATATTAATTTAGAAGTCTCAAGAAACAAATAAGCGACCAGAGACAGTTTTTAAAAACTGGTGCAGGAGGCGAGTACTATTCTTATTTTGGTAGTGTTGGAGCAAGTAGTGAAGTTTTAGATAGAATGCCAACTGGGGCTTATATTGATGGAACTTTTGGTTATTCTTCTGATGAGACAATAAAAGAGAATGTTAAAGAAGTTAATGGTAAAATGTTACGAAATAGGTAAATATGTAAAGCCGAAGACATTTAATTTTACACGCTTAAACGAAGAAAAGAACAAAGTTAATCATTTAGGGTATGTGGCACAGGACTTTGAAAAAGTAGTACCACGAGAATGGGAAGGAATCAAAAAGAAAACAGATGATAATGGACACAAAAGATTAGATTCTTGTAAAACAGCAGTAATAACACACCGAGTTGTGAAGCATTCGGAGACCGCAAGAAAAACAAACTATTTGCAAGTTGTATTCAATGCAGAGAGAAGAGGAAAGAAGAGTATAATCATAAATACAAAGAGCCAGATGACAAGCCGTCAGAAATAGTTACTGTGTTGAGCCATACGCGACAGTTACGGCTTAACGATGAACTTCTTGAGAACTACTTTATGATATTAGCCAGCAGGACGACAAGAAAATAATCGAAATTCCTATGAACAATGGGGTAAAGGATCTCAATAGTCAGCAACCAGAACATACCAGTGAAAACAAGTCTTTCTCAAAACTAGATCGGGTAATGCATTCATAAGTATAATGTAAGCATACGTTATAAGAGGCATTACACTATGAGTATTTTGTGAGTACAACCTTTGAAACTGAATCTAGCAAAATCTATGAGAGAGCCTTTGCCCACTTTGGGATGATACTACCACCTTAGGGAATATGGATGGGGTAATTGGTCATTCCTGTACTGGTCTTGGTAATGGGGATGTAGTAGTGATATTTGGGGAATTGCAGTAGGGAGTATAGGAATAATCATCTCAGAGGGATTTAGGTAATCGGTTATTCCTACACTGGTATTGGTAATGGGGATGTAGTGGTGATATAGTTGGTGAGATGTGGGGGAGTATAGGAATAATCGTCTAATGGGTGGGTTAGTGGCAGGCTGGTGGAAGTACCACCCAAAACGGGCAAGGGCTTTGGTAACTAAAGAGTGGCCCCCGCAGAGAGTCCAACCAAGTATCCCTGGAGTGCCGACCCCTGGAGAATCCAGCGGAGAGTCCCCGAGCAGAAATTCCCGCCAGAGAATCCCGCAAGAGTCCTGCCGAGTGACTGGTACCTGTTTCTGCCCTGTAGGTTCGGTTCCCTCAGCTGAGGAACCTAAAAATAAAGCACCCCCTGGACGGAGGGTACACGAGCTTGACCTGAAATCCCCTTCCAGAACTTGTCTATATGCCGGCGACCATGAATCATCTGATGGTTCTCCTGGTATTCACAGGCCCTTGTGGAAGAGGCGTCAGGTGGAACAACATACCATGACCTCCTAGGTGCCGAGGTTGGCATCTTTTTAAGCTCGAGTGAGAAAGCATGCCCCCAAACGCTAAGCCTTGAAACCTAATTCATTCTGAGCCAAAACCCTTAACCCTAAACCCCAAACCCTAAACCCTAAACCCATGAAGGCTGAATCAGCCGGGGCTCCTGCACCCCAGCAGCCAGCCGTGCTCCGTGATCCTGCCCGGCACTCGGTATCTGGAGCGCTCTTGTGCAGTCACGTTGTCACCACTACTCGGTAGCAGTTTCCTGGAGCAGGTCTTCTGTTAGTTTCCATTATAATGCGGCAACCGGACAGCAAGGACCTGCAAAGTAGGCTCCTCCTCTAGAGAACCGCAGAAGTCTGGATGTCGGAAGTTGGCTTACGCACTTAGAAAATTTCGTTTGCAACGGCCACGTGGGGCAAAGGAGGCATTTGCCGAGGCCAAAAACCCTAAACCCGATACCCTAAACCCTAAACTCCATACCCTAAACCCTAAACCCTACTAAAAGTCTCCCTGAACCGTACACACAGCAAAGAAGCCGAAAAGAGCCCCAAAGAGGTCTGACAGCGGCTCGAGGCTGTCGCGGCGGCCCCGGTTCCTGTGGCTTATAGGGGCATCGAGACAGGGCCTTGGAGACCCTAACCCCTAAACCCTACCTGTAGGTGCGAAGGTTGGCTTTTTTCCCGTAAAGGCGAACTCAGGGACAAAAAGACGTAAAGTACTGGATTCTCCTGAACGGACCGAAATTCGGCACCAGAAAGACGTATCACCTGAACGTAAGGAAATTCCGTGGATCGATGTCACAAGGAAGGATTTTATTGGGCCAGGAACCCAACCCCCCAAATGCCCT